GTCATATAGAAAAGAAAGGGACTAAAACTAGAAGTTTTGTGCTTGATGGTAAAAGTGTCTTGAGGAGTTCGTCATCTAGTTTTCTGCAAAATATTTAATATTTTTTCTTTATTTATGAAATAGAATTCCTTTCAGCAAACTCATGCATAATCCCGTTCGTTGGAGATGTATAGCCCATATCTTATCAGTAAATAAATAGGCAAGGGTAACTAATCAAGCTTCAATCATTTGTTGCTGTTTTTACTCTGTTTCTCGATATGTTTTCTTCTTATTTGCCCATTGTCATGTTCATTCATCTTAAAGAGTTAAAAATTTGTTTGAAGGTTGACCTAGATAATATAGACGAGAAAGAATTTCCCAAAGTGTTGGATCTGGATTTTGTCGACTGCATATTAGAGGAAGGTGAAATGCTTTACATCCCTCCTAAATGGTGGCACTATGTGCGGTCTCTCACTACGAGTTAAAGTCAATCGAAAACCACCTCGGAAGCTGGAAATTCACAGGGGCCCTGTCACTCGCCATATTGATTCATCCATTTCTTCTTTCTTTTTCCTGCACACGGGATAAATTGATAAACATTTAGCCAACATCATTATACGAAGGGGCCATTTTGTAGTTTACCATGATTTTATTTGACTGTATAACTGGATTCAGTGATTGTACTATTGTAAACTGCTACCAGTTTTGAACGAAACCCGTGTGTGCGCACACTTGCTGCCAAAATAGATAATTTATTTCATAGTTGTATTTATTTTACGTAGAACTGTTCTACCAAGCAATAGTGATGTGACACATCAATTAATTAAAGAATAAAGTTCACGGTAGGTCTCAAAAGTAAATGATCCTAGAAAGACTGACTTGTCATGTCAATGTTGCCTAGAAAGACTTTTATTTCCCATAAAGTTCAAAAACGCAGGATTCACTTAATTCCAAGAATTGAATCCATGTCCAAAATTAGGTTAGAGGCTATCTCAATAGTTGGTTGGATGGTATCTAGAAATTGCACATAGTATTAGAATATAAATTCCAGATCATGGTAGAAGCGGAAGCGGCCTGGTTTGAGTCAATTTCAAAGGGAATCAAACCGAACCAAATTGAGTACCAATGGAAATCTTGAAAATAAAATCATTGGTTTCGTATCTAATTATGGAATTGAATCGACCAGTTCGATTTTTCATATTATAAAGTTAAAAAAAATAAAGTGTGAAATTACTTGTTAGATTGAAAATGGACATAAGTAGTATATTTTTCCTTGAAGAAAGTGGGGCAAGTGTTCAATTGACAAAATAAGGGAGATTTGGCTGCACTTTTAGCAAATGGTGTGCACTCCTCTTCATTGTTTTCACCTTAAAGTCGAGCATGCTCGATGATGTTGTATAGAATAATGAATATCATTTTTACTAATTTTCCTTTCTTAATTCTTGTGATCAATGTAGTCAAATGTAGTATATTGAAAATAATGTGTGATAGAGATCTACTACATAGTAAAACGGGAAAAAAGTTGCAACATTAGTTTGCAATGCAGAGCCCTTATAACGATTGTCTTTAACCTTCGAATCTTGTTAATTATCAATCAACGTTTTTCGTTCATTTCACTATGAAAAGTGCATACTTTTAATTGGACTAGTTTTAACCCGTTCATTGTACGGGGTGAGTTATTTTGAAGGTGAAGTTAGCGTTTTATATTTTATGTATCTTGTATTTGATAGTCGTGGTCTTCTACAATTTGGAATAGATTCAAGACAATAAAGTAATCTAAATACAAAACATTCAGTAGTTCCTGCATTTCACAGAGACCTAGATTACAAATTCTAAAATTTCTTCAAGGTTGTAATTTCCAAAAACAAATGACAGGTATATACAATGGTACTTGGTACTCACACATATTTTACATCTTTTTCTTAACCTATTGAATGGAATGACACATTCAGAATTATGATTTACGCAAGGAAAAAAAATTAGAGGTTCCAATATACAAAATTTAATATGTTAACCTGAATTTCTTGACTAACGATATCTGGGAGAAGCTGCAGAAATAAGTTGTAGGTCTTCAATATTATTTAAAGTCCACTTCTAAATCAGTGATAGAGTAAGATGATAAATAAGCATTGTCTTTATCTTTTCAGAATCTATTATTAAAGAAATGACAAGATGAAATTTCAGTTAGCTTTTGGTGGAGCGACTCTGGAAATTCACAGGGGCCCTGTCACTCGCCATATTGATTCATCCTTTTCTTCTTTCTTTTTCCTGCACACGGGATAAATTGATAAACATTCAGCCAACATCTTTATACGAAGGGGCCATTTTGTAGTTTACCATGATTTTATTTGACTGTATAACTGGATTCAGTGATTGTACTATTGTAAACTGCTATCAGTTTTGAATGAAACCTGTGTGTGCACACGCTGCCAAAATAGATAATTTATTTCATAGTTGTATTTATTTTACATAGAACTGTTCTACCAAGTAATAGTGATGTGACACATCAATTAATTAAAGAATAAAGTTCACGGTAGGTCTCAAAATTAAATGATCCACCAATTAATTGACGCGTCATGTCAATGTTGCCTAGAAAGACTTTTCTTTCCCATAAAGTTCAAAAACGCATGATTCACTTAATTCCAAGAATTGAATCCATGTCCAAAATTAGGTTAGAGGCTATCTCAATAGTTCGTTGGATGGTATCTAGAAATTGCACGTAGAATTAGAATATAAATTCCAGATAATGGTAGGAGCGGAAGTGGCCAGTTCGAGTCAATTTCAAAGGGAATCGAACCGAACCGAACCGAACCAAATTGAGTACCAACGGAAATCTTAAAAATAAAATCATTGGTTCCGTATCTAATTATGGAACTGAATAGTTTGGTTTGATTTTTCATATTATAAAGTTATAAAAATAAAGTGTGAAATTACTTGTTAGATTGAAAATGGACATGAGTAGAGTATATTTTTCCTTGAAGAAAGTGGGGCAAGTGTTCAATTGACAAAATAAGGGAGATTTGGCTGCACTTTTAGCAAATGGTGTGCATTCCTCTTCATTGTTTTCACCTTTTAAAGTCGAGCATGCTCAATGATGTTGTATAGAATAATGAATATCATTTTTATTAATTTTCCTTTCTTAATTCTTGTGATCAATGTAGTCAAATATAGTATATTGAAAATAATGTGTGATGGAGATCTACTACATAGTAAAACGGGAAAAAAGTTGCAACATTAGTTTGCAATGCAGAGCCCTTATAACGATTTTGTCTCTAACCTTCGAATCTTGTTAATTATCAATCAATGTTTTTCGCTCATTTCACTATGAAAAGTCACAGAGTATGCACACTTCTAATTGGAAAACACAGAGAAATTAAAAGTAATTACAATATATTGAAAATACCGTAACAAATCAAAGGCACAACAACAATAAATTTGTTCGATCTGGTGCTCGCCACCCAGACCCAAACAATAAGGTTTTGAACTACTTTAAAAATATAAAGTAACTATTATTGGATGGACATCGCCCCCCCCCCCCCCCCCCCCCCCAATATTTATATAATAAATATTGGTATCAATTAAGTCAATAAAGACGGCCAAATTTTGGTGTGGGAAGGATAAAATGGGAAAACCATTAATTGATGGGGGATAACATGGGCATGCAAAATGCTTCACAAATGAACAGTAGCCAACGGATTGCCTCTTTTATATTAGTAGGGAAAACACAAAGAAATTAAAAATAAATACAATATATTGAAAATACCGTAACAAATCAACGGCACAACAACAATAAATTTGTTCGATCTGGTGCTCGCTACCCAGACCCAAACAATAAGGTTTTGATCTACTTTAAAAATACAAAAATATTTTTAAATGTGCTTTAAATTTTAAAAATAAAAAAATAGAACAAGAATTAGGGGAGGAATAGGATTTCCAAGTGGAATAAGACGAGTAGGAACATTTTGATATACGTATCTTCACTGACGTCGAGATTAGATTAATAAAATAAAAGAATTGATCACATCCATCGATTTATTAGACAAGTTGCACATCGTCCTTCTCATCATACTTTAGTCTTTTTATCGCCAATGAATTTTGGTTCTCTTTAACACCTATCAATACTTCAGATAGCTATTTTAGTGTAGTTATTAATGGTTTACTTCAATTTTGTCTAATCTTGTTCAGTATCATACATCAAACGACTCTAATTGGCTTTAATTAATTAGTGGATGGATAGCCTTGAACCTAATTCATTTAGAACAATGCTTTATGTACAATGATGTTGACAACATTGTTGACAATATGTCATGTAGCATGTTGTCATTGGACTGTTAGAAAACAATTTATCTTTTCAACCAATGATTTTTTGCAACGAACAATATTGTACAAGTAGATTAATTCATTTAGTGGTTAAAACAAACACTTTTTAGGATCATTCAACGTATGATTATGATGAGTTGACACTGTTAAAAAGGGTTTTGCCAAAAGGCTATGGCCACATGGGTCCTAGAAAAACGGGGGCGCATGTGGGGGCATAGGTCACTCTAGCAAAGCCCATGTTAAAAGATAGGATTATCCTCCTTGAATAGAGCCAAGGTACAAGACTAAAAAATAAAGAAATGAGAAGCACAATTTTTAGAACAATCAATTTCATGACTACTATCACCTCGGTCTGTTGAAAGAGAGGAGAGTAACAAAGTAAACTCATTACATTCTCTCTAATGATTCATAAGATAACGATATCAGCTACCAATACTACTACGAGGAACATCTCGTACCTTCCTTGAAAATACACTTTTCCGGGTCCCATCAAACTACTGGTATCTTGTGATAAGTAGTAGATAGAAAAACAAACAATAAACCATGTCTCGTTTCAAATAAATTTGAGATCAAATATATGATAGGCTTTCCAGTTTGATCCAAGCACATCTACTAAAAGATCATATGGAAGTTATTACATCTTGATTTACAAGACAAATGACACTCAGTCTAAACACTGATGTACCCTAAAATAAATACAATTATGCTCCAAAGTACTCGATGATTTCATCAAAATCATCATCAACCATAAAGCTGAAGTCACCAGCGTCAAATGAACTTGCACCATCCATTCCAAGATTAAATAGACTGTATCCAGACAAATCTGGTGACAAGGTATTAAGCGGAGATGGAAACCTTGTGTCAATTGGTCTATCTGGCTCCCGCAGGAATGCATCCTTTCCATACAGGGGGAATTCTTCACCGGTGACATCGTTCCCATTTCTAGGTATTCCAGGTACATGGATTCCAGAATCCTCAGGTCTATGTTGTATCTCGTTTAAGATTGTCAAAGACTGCTGTCCTTCATTACTTACTCCAACTACTGCTGATGGATTATAGAAACGATACGTGGAGTTTTGATGCGAACCAGAACTTTGAGTCGCCTGAGGCAGCACAGTTTCTCGACGTCCTGGCTGCCATACAGAATGTTGAGGTCCAAAAAGCAACCCTGGTTCTTGAAGTTCATGATGAGTTGCAGAACTTAGAGATTTGTCATGCAATTCAGGATGTTGAGGCTTGTCTTGCAACCTACGATGATCTTGAGGTGCATGCAGCAACCGAGAATCGTAATCTACAATGTTGGAACTTTGAGCCACAGGATAAAGAAATGGCCCACCACCCATTGACATGTTTTGAGTGGTGATAGTATCGGCAGAAGGAAAAGTGGAGAAATTGTTCTCTTGAGGTCTCATGGGTACTGTCCCGTCATTTTCTGACAAGCCTTCATTAGTTAACTGTCCAGTAAACTGTACATTAGACTGGTTCACATCAAGCAGCGATTCTTTAGGATCATTACGCAGTTGTTCACAGATGGATGGTGTAGCCTGTTGGTTAGCATGGTTTGATTTCACACGTTTTCTTTTCCTCGGTAGTTCCTTCACCCGCTCCTTGTCTTTGATTGGTCGAGTTGTAACAGATTGTACTTCCGTTGATCGATTTCTCCTATCATCTTTAGAGGAAACAGATCCCAAACCATCTTCGACGCCATTAACGTCATAGTTGCTATCACTGCTAACAGATGGTTTCTTCTTCTCACCACGGCTTCTTAAAGGTGCCTCACTTAAGCTAGATGAACCATTCTCACTGCTCGGATGCAGGATGGAAGTTTCCTCCAGGCTCAAAACACCTAACCAAATAGAGCTCTCTTTGGCAGTCATCTTATCCTGTAAACACTTTGACTGCCTAACCAGTTTCCTAATCTTCGCAATATCTGGTGACATATGCTTTATAACAGCAGTTAGCACCCCAACTTTCCACATCTTCTTCAAATCATGTGGCTTCTTATATGGAGGAGAGTGACCTTTTGTTAGTCCCAATCTTGTCCACCATTCTTCATTCCCCATTGGCCACCAAGGTGGTGGAATGCCCTTCTCCAGCGGATACTTCCTCTGGGGTGGATCACAATGCTGCATCAAAGAAGACAATAGTGAACCCAGTGTTGCATCTTGCAAGTCTTGAAGCATGCCCCGTGAGTTTCCATTTTGATCCACACCTCCATCTCCATTGGCTAGGCACTCTGCCTCATACTTAGCTATGGCAGCAGGTCCATTTTTGTCAAATTTCACCTTCTCCTTCCACCAAGCTCTTATATTATCTGATGCACCACTAACTGGTTTACCCTTCTCGGGAATGATCCCATATACAAATCCCCTGGCCTTGCACACCTCCATTAACTTCAACATGTATTTCAAAATTCCATCTTGTGCTCGTGCCATTTTCTTCCGCTGGGCCTGGTCCGTTGGGCCCACCTTCTGCTTCTCCGCAGCTTGCAGGGCAGCAAGCTTCTGCTTTTCCTTGATCCTCTTGAGTTTGACACGGTCCTTCCACATTCGTTTCTCCAACTCTTCCGGTTCAATCTCCTCATCGCTAACATCTTTTTCTTCTATATTCTCATCAACCCTCGTGCCATAGACTTCAATGTCGAAACTGTCAGCAACACATTTATTAACAACATACAGTCCATATCGAAACAAGTATAATGTAGAAAACTAAATGAAAGCCCGCTAAAATTAAAATGAAAGAAAAAACCATTTCTATTTCGACCAATGGGCCCTTTCTAATCAGTTATCAACATAATCATTTTCCAGAGGCAATTATAAAATTGAAGGATTTTCTAGGCAAAACCCAGAATTCAAAATTACAAAGATATGGTTTTTATACATCAAAACAGATTGAAATGAAATGTAGGCACGCGATAATTTGATAATCCCGTTAAAAATCCATAAAAAATTGCAATTAGCACCTCTAAAATCAATAAAATCAAAATTCAGATTAAGAAACATAATAGATCTAATATTCACAATGAATTTAACAATCTTTTCCACACAATAAACGGAAACCAAGAGATCGAGAGAATAAAATTGATGTTTTTTAGGGTTTACTAAAATTTTAAGAAATCAGACCTTATATCAGCTCCAATATCTTCCATTACAACCATCCTTATATTATGTCAACTTTCATTTTTTTGCTATCCACCTGAAAATCCTTTTTGAAAATTCTAGGTTGTCAAATTTCTGCCCTGTAGAGAAAGAAAGAACAAACAAACAAAAAATGGGGAAATATAATTTTTATATGTTTGCAAACTGTGTGTGTGAAAGCGAACTGAACGGCTCCTTTTTTTTCTCCTCCAATTTACCCAAATGGGATGCGAATCATTTCAGCGGAAAACTCGTGAAATTCTTGCGATTTTAGTTCATAAGTTTCCAAGTCATGTACGAATGGGTAGAGGAGGCGCTCCTGCACGCACGTACGTGCGAGAGAGGGGTTGGGGTAAAAAACGGGAGTCGGAAAGAGAGAGAGAGAGAGAGAGAGGTGGCGGCTAAAAGTTTCACGCCAAGCGCAATTAGTTAGTGAGGGTGTGATCACCTGCATCGCAATTTATCATTTTGTCTGGATGAGCCCAACTTTGTTGGCATGGGTCCTAAACCTTTAAAAAGTAGGATTTGAGCCTCAAACATACTTAAATTGATATAATTTTACTGTGTGATGAATAAATCAAATAAGACGCTAAAATCGCGGGTCGTTTTTACTTTTTAGTTGAATTTGAGATAGATGATTTTTCCTTAAATCGTGAGTTATCTGAACGTTTACATCAATGATTTTAGTCACATAAAGACTTGATTTATCAATTTAAATAGGTTGAGGTCCAAAATCTCAAATTTAAAGATTGATGACCCATAACCATATCAAGTGGAAGATTGAGGTGTCCAACCCTAATTTATCCTTTTTGCCTACAGTGGAAAAGGAGAATTTCGAAACAAATCACAGATACTGCTAAAGAATCCACATATTCCATATTTATTTTTAAACTTTTTTATTCTCTGTTTTTCATTATTTTTTATTTTTACAATAAAATTTCTAACACAATAGGAGCTTGTTTTGGACGGATTAAAATTCAATTAAAATTGAAATTATAATCGTTATTGGGTCTCACTCGTCTAATAAAAGTCAACTCCAACGGCTATATTTTCAATTTTAATCTGATTTTAATCCCTCCCAAACAAGTTCTAGGTAAATTCATGTTACAAATATTCCACCGGCATTGCTTGTAACGCAATGTGTTACGCATATTTTGTTGCTTTTTTTTTTTTTAATCATTATCGTGGTGATGACACATTCATCACTTGTAACATTTATTGTTACATTGTCGATCTCACTGCTTATAGTATTCATTGTTACATCACACTATCATTTTCGGTGTCATTCGTTGAAACATTTATTGTTACACAACGGCAATCATCATCCGTCAAAACACATGACATCCACTGTCATTTTCTTCAACACCTCAAACCGCAAAAAGCCATGCTCCCAACTCAAACTCCAGAGAAGCCATCACAATTGTTGCCTACCGCCTATTTTCAACAACAAATTAGAAAAATTAGATCCGACATATGCAGTCGATTCTCACAAGACAAAGAAAAAAGGTCACAAAATTCGAAAAAAAAGAGATTTGAAGAGGTTCGAATGTTTTTTTTGATCTAAAATTCAGATATTCTGGCTTAGGATGTTGCCATCGGAGTTAGTGGTATTGCTGAATTGAGATGGATTTGACATGGCAATTGAGTTACTGGTCACAATTGTGGTGACTGGTGAGAGTGCGAGGAAGAGAGAGAAATTGGAATGGCAATTGAGTTTGAAAAAATAATATATTTTAAAATTTAAAAGGAGTAATAGTAACGTGAGAAAATTTTTATTCTATTTGGCACATGTTTGATCCACATTTTTTTTAAAAATGCATTCTTTTAAGAGCGATGCTACTAGTACATAATAGTCTACATAATTACAAGTGGCATTGATTAATACTTTTAATTCAAATTTGACACTTTCACATCAACAACATGACGATTGCCACATCACATTATGTCATCCATTGTGTACGTACACTTAGCATTTTCCTTCTTTTAATATTCATTTTCAACCACATAATTTTCAATAAAATAATATTACACGTAAATTCAAATTTTTTTCTTTTTTTAACAACATATTTTTCATCACATCACTATTTAAAGAATAATGCTATGGGTTACTGGGTACAGGATTTTCTCACAGAAAGGCTACAGGAATTTGAAATCAGTTGACGTGGCAGCTTGGTTTTTTTTTTTAAAAAAGGAAAAGGCCAAAACGACTTAGAAGGGAGGGAATAAGGGGAATCGGAGTAAAATGTTTGAGTGGTCACTGAACTTTAACATGGTCACGATTTACTCACTGAACTTCAAATTGTCTCTTAATGGTCACTGAACTTTCTGTCGTTGCACCACATCCATCACTCACCAAATTCCATTACCATTGAAACTGACGTGGCAGACGGAAAACACACGTGGCAGGTGACGACCGTTAAAAAATGACAACTCGGTGAAAATATTGTTTCATTACTCATCCAACTTACATTTTGTCACATTTCACTCATCGAACTTCAAAATGCTTCTCAATGGTCACTCATTTTTAAAATGTTGTACTCTATTCATCATTTGCGTATTTTGTTCCCTTCATTCCTAATGTTCGTACAAAAATTCCACGGGTAAGTTACAAATGTTAAAAAAAATTGCAACTCAATAAAACTTAACTCACCAAAATCATCATATAAGAAGCGTGACTTCCACAGCCTCATCAACTTTTAGAAATATCAACAAAATTATTTTTTCTAAAAGAATCGTTTTTTCTAAAAGAATAATTTTTTCAATAAAGTGTCCCCAATGATTTTTTTAGAAATATCAGATTGAAATCTATTTTTTTGCATAGCAAACGTTCGAATTAGAAAAATGATATTTCTAAAAGAATCATTGGGGACGCTTTATTTAGTTTTAAAGAAGTTGATGGGGCCGTGGAAGTCACGTTTCATATATGATAATTTTGGTGAGTTGCAATTTTTTTTAACATTTGTAACTTATCCGTCGAATTTTTGTGCGAACATTAGGAATGAAGGGGACAAAATATGCGGATGATGAATAGAGTGCAACATTTCAAAGATGAGTGACCATTGGGAAGCATTTTGAAGTTCGATGAGTGAAATGTGACAAAATGTAAATTGGATGAGTAATGAAACAATGTTTCCGCTGAGTTGTCATTTTTAACGACCGTCACCTGCCACGTGTGTTTTCCATTCGCCACGTCAGCTTCAATGGTAACGGAATTTGGTGAGTGATGGATGTGGTGCAACGATAAAAAGTTCAGTGACCATTAAGAGACAATTTGAAATTTAGTGAGTAAATCGTGACCATGTTAAAATTCAGTGACCATTCAATCATTTTACTCGGGAACCGTGACTTTCATTTCCGTTTCCCACCACACCAAAATGACCAAATGAAACCCCAGCCACCACTTCCCCCAAAAGCATAGAGCGAAACCCAACTGATTCACCGGCGCCGTCGAAGCATTTTCCGGTAAACAACCGTGCTCGTAACTTCGACCCGCCGCGAAACCACCATGACACTCCTCTCCTCCTCAACCCGACGCCAAGTCACCACTAAAGAACCCATATCCGTCAATATCTGTCGACCACTATAGACAAAGGTATTCAAACTGTGTTCAAGTTTTGATCTTTATGAATGTTTAACATAGCCTTTTTGTAAATTGAAATTTTTTTTTAAACTCATCTGGAGATTAACCATCTCTTGGTGTGCTTAAAAAGTAGAATAATTCTTTCAAAGTTGCTGAACTGGAGATCAAATCAAGTATGTTGCTTTAATAACGTTTTGATTTTTCGTGTTCAGTTTCTTTACTTATTGGCTGCAATTTGAGATTGGGCATTGAATTTTTCACTTGATTGTCAGTAGTGTAGCAATTCTTCTTGCAAATGGATTTTGACTTCACTTCGTGGATGTATTGTATTGTCTGGTCTGGAATTGCATTCTGAATGAGAACCATTGTTTGAGCTGTTCTGGAGGTGCTGTGTATGTGTATGAATTTCTAGGTAGAAACCCTTTGAGTATTTTTAGGAGCCGTTCTGGACGTGCTGAGTATGTGCCTGTCTTTTTTACGAGTATGTTCTTTAATATTGATTCACGTTGTTTCATTTGCAGTCGTAGGCTAGAATGAGAGAGAAATTTTGAATCATGCGGTGAATCAGGCACCGAACGAGGAAGACGAAGAGTTGTCAAGACTGTTTGACTGGCTGGTTAGAATTAGCAGAAACAAGGCGTCGACATATCATTGCACATGGCTGTAGTTATGTGTGTATTCTGTGTAGCTGCGGTACGAAGTGTAGACCGTTTAGGCCATCCAGATTCAGAAGTGAAGACTGACTTTTATTATGGCCAGAAAATTCAGTTTTTACATTGAACTTTATGATGGAATTTCGGTGTAATTAATGTTAGACTGACTTTTTCCGGTGTAACTAACTTTCGTTCCTACACATTTGTCACTGGACAGAAGAACATTTGTCTTGAATCTTAATTCAGGTTGTAAAAAGTTGATCTTTGGAGTTAAAACAATTTAATGAATTGTCAAACATTTGAACAGGGAATCAATTCTGGAAGTTGCTTTATATCTGTTCTCATTTTACTATTCAGCATATTGATCATATACGTATTACTTTACTATGAATGAAGTGATGAGCAAATATACAAATCAAGCCATTAATGTCATAGAAGATCTTTGCATAGCTTATAGGCTGAGATGGATATCATTATGATCAAGCTCATTTTTTCTACCTGCTAGGCAGATAGTCCATTTCTGGACTACTGATAGGAGCATAATTTATTATGCTTGTGCAGCGTTTTGTTAAACAAAACCTTTTTGCATCAAATAGTGAAGTTAGGCTTGGGGATATTTAGTTAAGGAAGCTGTCCTTTGTTCTCCAAGTAATGCACCTTGTATAGAGGAGAAATTTGCTTTCTCTCCACTCCTAGAGACCCTTTTTTGGCCATAAAGTTCTTGTCATTCACAAAAAGGCTGAACTGAAATGCAGATTAGACATAAATGAAACCAATATATCGTTAT